CCCCCCAGCCTCGCCGTGTTTGGCGTCTGGTTGGAGCCCACGTCCCTGGAGCCACGTGTCTCTGGGCCACTCCGCTTTTATTTAGAGTTTCTGGCCTTCCTGGCCGCAGAGACGCTTGCAAGCACGAGCCACCCAGGCTCAGAATAGTAGGCAGCTGAGAACCCCAAACCTGCTTCACGGGAATGTTTAAGCCATTCATGATGTTTTGCCTCGGACTCCTGATTTTTGGATGCCGGGGTTGGCGGTGCTGCAGTCGCCTCATCTCACGTGGCAGCAGCGTCCTGGGCATTTCTGGCTCAGGTTCAGAGCAGCAAAATGTGCTCCCGTATTGGGAGAGGGGCGGCTCTGAAACTGACTACGGCCCCCCTTCTGGATCTGCAGGTGTGGAGAGTAACAGGTTGAAACTCATCTCTGTTACTGGGACAAGGGCCCCTTTAACGGCAGCAGTGTCCCCTGCTGGTCACTGTGCGTAACAGAATTTGAGCCTCCAGGGGTGTTCCTAAGATTCTCCTACCTGTGTGGGACGGGAAGCAGGGCGGCCGAGCCAAGTCACACCCTGGAGGACAGGAGCATTCCTCGACGGGACGGAAGGGGATGCAATAGACAAGGAGGAAGTAGCTGGCTGTGTTTTGTGAAACGTCTCCCGGGTTTCACCGAGAGCCCCGCCGCAAAGGGCAAAGCGGCCTCGAGGCTTGTGGGGCGGAGCCACGTCTAAACCAGGAACCTGTCGGGAACTTCCTGGACCGCTGGAGCGGCGCTGCTGGCGTGCCTTGTCTCAGGGCGGTTCCAGGTGGCGGCGTGGCCTCGTGCCTTTGCAGCGCTGTGCACGCTGTGACGCTTTCTCCGTGGCTAGTGCCTTGCACGTGGGGATAACGGGTCCTCGTGAATGAAGCCTTTTCAAACCCATGTGCTGTAGGTAACTCGCCTCTGCCTGTGCTGCCTCCCGTTTCAAATGAAGATCAGGGCAATGCCTGAGGTGTCACGGGCAGTGGCTCGGCAGAGAACCCAGACCCCGGGGCATGACGCCATCCTAGGGCCGAGGGGGACAACAGAAGCTGAGGTAGGCTTTCTCTGTCCGTTTTGGTACCTAGAAAAGGCCGAATCCTCTTCTTCTGATTGCCTCTGTCCCCCTGGCATGGTTAAGACACCCTGCATACGAGACTGAGAGCATGAAAGCATCCTACAGGATACTCTGGTTGCAGTCACTGCCGGAAATGACTTGTTCATGGCATTAAACCACTGAAATCGCATGGAAGGTGTTGGTGATCTTCCGAGCCGTGGCTCCCTGAGAAAAGGGCAACGCGATATTTACTGACCCGTCTCAGAACGGTGGCCGGGTGAGTCTGTATCTGCAGAAACACAAGGAGTCCTGTGGTTTTTCAGGGTTTTTGCCCCAATAAATCGGTTGGTCCGTGAGGCGCCCCAGGACTCCGCATCGGTGTGGTGATATTCACTGAGCTTGGCTGGGAGCGTTGTTGGTCTTAGGATGAAGTTCTCCGCGCCTGGCAGAAAAGTCCCCCCACCTCCGCACCTGGCCAGGAATTCGCTCCCCGTCCCAGTCCACCGGTGTGGGTGCGGAGCGAGAGGCACAGAGCGAGGGAGGAGAGATGGACGGACCCCGCCCCCCTGGGCTGGCAGCACAGAAGGACTTTGGGTTCCAGACAGAGCTTTCGCTGGCCACACTGATCAGAGTTCTCCGCGCCTGGCAGAAAAGTCCCCCCACCTCCGCACCTGGCCAGGAATTCGCTCCCCGTCCCAGTCCACCGGTGTGGGTGCGGAGCGAGAGGCACAGAGCGAGGGAGGAGAGATGGACGGACCCCGCCCCCCTGGGCTGGCAGCACAGAAGGACTTTGGGTTCCAGACAGAGCTTTCGCTGGCCACACTGATCAGACGTAGCCGGCGAGCCGAGGAAGTGCCCAGGCCTCTTTGGTGTGAAAAGGAAACGTCCGTTGGTTCCCATTTGCGCTCTCTGATCCTCTCCAGAGCACGAGGGGTGACCACAGCCTGCCCCGGGGGGAGTGAGCAGAACCGGGAATCATCTGGGATCCCTCCCGTCGCCCATTCCCAGCCTCCGGCAAACAGAGGCCAGGGCCCCCTCCCCGCCCAGTCCAGCTCACAGCCGTTGATGGACCGGTCGTCCAGGAATCTGTCTAGCTCTTGTTGAATCCTTTCATGTCCTGGTCTTCGCAGCCTCCTCTGGCAGGACAGCTTTTGTCAGTTGGGGGCGGGGAGTGCTTC